GCTGTTGCAGTTGCTGCTGCTGCTGCAGTTGCTGCTGCTGCTGCTGCTGCTGCAGTTGCTGCTGCTGCGGTAGCAGCAGCAAGGTACGTTTCACGCCTATGGAGAAAGGAGAGGCTGCTGCTGCTGCGGCAGCAGGAGGAGTAAACCCTACATTATATCTTGCTGCTGCTGCTGCTGCTGCTGCTGCTGCTGCTGCTGCTGGTGCTGCTGCTGCTGCTGCAGCAGCAGAGGGGAGAAAAGGAGCGCGAGGCAGCAGCACAGAGACAGGGAAACCCCTGCAGCAGCTGCGGGTAGCCATTGCTCTCAGGGTTTAGGGTTTAGGGTTTAGGGTTTAGGGTTTAGGGTTTTTTGTATGGGGGGTGGGCTCCTCTCCCCAGCACCCCAACGCCCCCCGCAGCATCACAAACCCTAAACCCTAAACCCTAAACCCTAAACCCTAAACCCTAAACCCTAAACCCTAGAATATTAACAGAGAAGAAGTCAGGGGTATACGTACAGAAATGAAGATTGCATACAACAAAAGAAAAACCCTAAACCCTAAACCCTAAACCCTAAACCCTAAACCCTAAACCCTAGGGAGGCGAGCACACGATACCCCCCCGCTTTGTTTATGTATAAATAAAGTTTTTTATTTTTTTATTTTTTTTATTTATAATAAATAAATAAATTAAATAAAAAAAAAAACAAAAACAAATGCCGCAATACAAAACTGCTTCAGCTCACACAAACCCTAAACCCTAAACCCTAAACCCTAAACCCTAAACCCTAGCAGGCGCACCAGGCAATACACCTAAACCCTAAACCCAAACTTTTTAGTTTATAAACCACAAACCCTCAATGTTATAAATAAAAAGGATACGCATTAAACCCTAAACCCTAAACCCTAAACCCTAAAACCCTAAACCCTACTAAACCCTATTAACCCTAAACCCTAAACCCTAAACCCTAAACCCTAAACTCGCAAACCCTTAAACACTAAACCCTAATCTCTAAACCCCAAAGCCCTAAAGCTTAACCCCTTAGATCCTAAACCCTAAAGCGTAAGCAGATAAACCCTAAACCCTAAACCCTAAACCCTAAACCCTAAACCCTAACAAGCCACCATGCACAGAACGCAGTAAACCCTAAACCCTAAATAAAAAACCTGGGTACTGAGTCTTATCCCTGGGAACACAAACCTAAACCCTAAACCCTAGACCCTAAACCCTAGACCCTAAACCCTAAACCCTAAACCCTAAACCCTAAACCCTAGAAAGAGAAGCATTGGGGGTGATGCTGACGCCTCAACGCCGTGTATAAGAGAGAAAAAGAAAAAATAAAAAAAATAAAAAAAAAAAAGAAAGAGACAGAAAGAAAGATAAAATAATATTTTATAAGAAACAGAA